CATAAAAACACGACAGGGTATAGGCTTGGAATCCCGTTTTATCGATTTATGGTTGTTGTTGAGTTTGCTCTGCTCGAAGTCGGATGTTAAACACCAAACCTTGAGTTGGGTTGAAGACAATCGCCACTTTGGTCTGCTGACTCGTGGACTGACAGGTACTCTCACCTCCCCTGAATTTCTACGTGTGAGATACGTCAGCCGAAAAGCACAACATCGGACACGGATTCTGCTAGAAGATCACATGCCATTGCATCTGCTGAGATCATTTTGGTAGTGGATGATCTAACAGATCGCAAATATACCTTGTATTGGACCTCCGACACAGACTACCCATGACTGCGAATCTAGTTAGCTCGACCCAGTCCCTCTTTTAACGACGAAGACCAAATATCAGAGGTGCAAGCACAAACTCAGCGGAAAATTATTACCGACAGAAACAGATGGCGTTTGAGTGATCAGTTCTGGCCATTCGACCATCGCCAGGCAGTGACTGCCTAATGCCATGCACCCGAGTTCTCGCGGTTTGAGGCCGACTGGGATAGGATAGTGAACATTCAAGTCAACCTCTATTGCCGTCTAAATTACTGGGTCCGCATTCTAACGAGTATGCTCTGTGTCTTCGCACAGCGCCTAGATAGGTTGTGGGCTGACTCCCTCTGTGTTTTATCCAGTTTTCGAGCGAAATCGGAAACAGGGCATCGATACTTAACTTTCAAGGCGAGATACGAAGAACGTTTCGATCGTGTGCAGTCTTATTATGTTTAGTTATAATTGTTTTTTCACACGATGTCTGTGAACATGACTAGAATGATCGGATCCAGTTTTCTCCCGTCATAGTTTGGCAAATGCAAAGGACAAGCCGAACGACGGTTTGGTATTCGCGTCCGAAAACCGGAAGATTGTGTAGGCTTATAGACACCTTCGATAGCGCGTGGAAACCGTGAGAGCGGCATCTGTTCGGACAATGAGGTTGGCACTACTCTTTATGAAATACCAACTCACTCGAAGTTGTTTACGTTTTCGGAAAAAAATGTTATTCCGATGAATGCCTTCTCTTCGCCATAACTGCATCTTAAAACTACTTTGCTTTACAAGCCTCAGCAAATAATACTTCTTCCTTCAACTCTTTAGAAGAGCGACAAATCCAGCTTGAGATGACCATAAGAACTATTGGGTCAAGGTAGTTACTTCGATTGTGCAAGTCTCTAGAGTCTCTAAGCTCTAGCGTCTCAAGTGAGTGACCGATCTTATGAAATGTTGGCCGAAATTCTGAAACACCATTTCGATTAGGAAGGATTTCTTAGGTGGGGTTGTAATGTTGATAATCATGCGGCATAATCCTATAGTATTTCGGACTCGCCAGGATTTCGGCTGTTGAATGTACTTTTCGAATCCCCCCAGAAACCACACCTGCTAAAAATTGACTACCTAGGCAGCGTGCATTTTTCATACTGATTTTCGCTGGTCTTATAAATTCAAATATATTTTATAGAAAACATGTATCAACTATTCTTTCTTTTACTTGTTTGATGCAAATTCACATTGTCTTTACATTTTATACTCTAGGAAAGGTTATCCTTCGGTTTTAAAAAATTTCTCAATGGGAGATTTTTAAGACTGTGCGATGTCCATACATACAGCATCGCACATGTTCGTTTACCAATGCTCATCATGAAATGAACAACATAGACAGCATTCATTGCGAAGGTTTAGCAACTCCACATGGTGTCTTCTTAAAGGCCCAGAGAGACATATGATTTTGATTACGCGGAAGGTATGCACTTTGTAGACTGGCAACAGTATAGAGAAGGACCTCACCTAACTGTCAGTAGGCTGTGGATCGCGCCATACGTGATTTCTGGTAAAGGGAGTTTTATGGGTGCGGCAGCACGCTAGACAGTAAGCTGATAAAATTAAAGAAACACAAAAATTGCCCGAAATTTTGCCGAAAGTGTTATCCTACTTTATTTGACGATAATGGAAGTCAGAGTAGTAAGTGAACGATAAACAAAAAGTCACGTTCACAAAAAAACGAATTTTGCGTTAAGTTGTGAGGTCGCAGGAATCAATTGTTGTTGGCAGTGTTATTTCTGCAACAGCTTGTAAATGTATGCCAAGATAAAACTCCATATGACACGATCCACAGTCTACTGACTGTTAAGTAGGGTCCTCCTCTGTACCGTTGACTGTAGACTGAGATCGCTAAAGGCTAATGCAACGACTGATCTGGTTCAAAATTATCCGGGAATTCGGAAACGGCAACTATCGGGTGAGAAGCAATCGTTGTAGACACTTAAAGTTTATTTTTCTAATTTTCCTGCATAATTTCGGTTGCTATATGCCAATGCATTATAACTTTTCCGCCCTAAAAACGAATTTACTAATTATCTATACTTATTTTGCCCTTCCTCTATGCATACGTAGGCCCCTCCAGAAGAACCCCTACTACCACCTTTCCCGAATGACAGGCACCTTTGGTTGATTGTTTGTGTCTGGGGTCCTTCAACTGATCGTTGCTTGGGGAACTTTTTCAAAACTCAAATATACACTTTCTTCAGGGGCAACATGTGAAGATGATGTAACTTTCCACTAAGCAAGTAAAAGAACGCATATTTTGAGAATGTGTTCTATAAAATATGTTTGAATTTATAAGACCATCGAAAATCAGTATGAAAATTGCATGCTGCCTAGGTAGTCAATTCTTAACAGGTGCGGTTTCTGCAGGAATTCGAAAGGTACATTCAACAGCCGAAATCCTGACGAGTCCGAAATATTATAGGATTATGCCGCATGATAATCAACATTACAACCTCACCTAAGAAATCCTTCCTAGTCGAAATCGCATTTCAGAAATTCGATCAACATTTCATGAAATCGGTCACGCACTGTATGCCCTTTGGACTAATGGGCTTGTTCAGCGACGGCAGCAAGGAATTTGCTTCTGACAACTTATCCTGTATGAGCCGCCGATGTGGGTCATTCGGATGCTTTTTCAGCTTCGGTGCTTAACTAGTCAGAATTTCGTCCTCAGAAGCGGGGTTCCATTCTTTTCGCCCTCACTAAACATCGGTTGACCATCCTACCTAGGTAAAAATCTTCGCTTTAATATTGATGCTATGCAATAACAATGAGCTCTCAGAGGTCTACGCCTGGCTGAGACCTATGTCTATGATGCAGACACTCTGGCGTTCTGACTCTATGGGGTGTTTGAACAGGCATAGTAAGCTGTTAATATTCTGTTACGGCGGCAGAAAACAGTTAACCGGTAGGCACGAATTTTCTCAAGTACTTATATTCGAGTTCCAGCATCATTGTCCTCACGCACTCCCCTGTAGCCATGGTCACGTCTGCTTGGTCGCACAGCCGCTACAAGATCACACTGGCTCCCATGCTCGCTAACGGGTCGCAGGCGGCATGATTTTCACAAGTTTTTGACTCACGCTTGTCCCATACACCAACAGAACTGGCCGCCACCTGTTTCCGCGATCTCACCAAACCATAAATCCCTCAACACAGTTCTCTTGACGTCTGATTAAGCAATACGCTATCATAGCATTCGAGGTTGTGTCCTACAGGATGTTCGTTTTAATAAAAATAACGAAAATGGAACGTTGTTCTGGGTTATGTAGATTGCAAAAGGGCTCGCCAGAAGCTCAAATACTATATGCATTTCAACGTGTTTAAATGTACTGCGTGGGCATGGCCAAGATGTAGGACGTGCAAAAATCGATTATGTTCGAACAACGCTGTCACGTGGGTCGGGTGAGAGAGCGTTGTGCCGCCTGGACAGGGCGCCAGCCTAAGGAATTTCGATGGTCTTAAGTTCTTCCGTTGAACTTTCTTTTAAAAATAAAAATTCTTGGAGGCCAAAAATCAAATTCAGTCGTAAAAGAGAGTCAAAGCTCAGTTCAAGGGCCATCTGCAGGCGTAACACGAACTTTCCAGACGACTTATGTAGAATTCTTGACCTGACTGCATGTGCCCTAGAACAAAAGTTCCTGAGCAAGAAACGTGGTGGAAAGGGGATCTCCGCTGACTTTCATCAAGAACCCCTGAAGATTCTCCAAAATCTCTGTCAGTTCGACATGAACAACGCCGCAGATGTCACCCGAGCCAAATCATCCAGGTGTTGTTGTCATACAAAGGAAAGGATATTTGCGGGAAACGCGAACAGCAACTCGAATCTAGCGAGACCGACAAGGCCGTCCCCTTTAACCGGCAAAGGCTTGTCGACAGGCACATTTCCACCAGGGGATGGTTCCGCATGGTCATTTTGGAACAAGAGAAGAGAAAACGCATATTCAACCTACGAACCACTTCAACAGAACTTTACTCGGCAGAACCTTGTTGATATCCTTGATCGGGACTTCCCAAACAAACGGAAACATATTCCCATCCTCCTGCAGAATAAGGCGATTGGTCTTTTTAGGTCGCGTAACCAGGGTGATAAAACCGGCCAGTTTTCCTGGGAAATGTCAGGTGGGAAAACACTTCTCGGGTCATCTAACGCCAGGAAAAGTCAGGAGGCTGTGACAGAGTACATAAATGAAGTGATCAAAACCAACCGGACGCCTCTTATTCGACGCGTCTCTTCCAAAGTGACGACGCGTAAACCGAAAAAGATTCCCCCCGAGGGGTCCACAAACCGGTACGGTGCGCATCCACCGTTCAAAAAGTGTTCTGATAAATTTTCAAATCGTGAACACCCAACCGTGGTTTCGAAAGAAATGGTGGCAAATGATACTTTGAAAACTCAAGAGATAGTGCGAGTTGACTACAGCATGAAGACTGAGAGAAACCCTATGACATTTAAAACCCACAGGTTCGTTGGAAGCCGGACTCCGTCATCTCCCGCTCGCCCAAACGTCCCACTGACTTCCCCAGTAACGCATCAGCTGCAGAATACTTTTGGAGCAGAGGGGGTAGGATTGGACAGTTCCCATTTCTCGGCATCAGTCAACTTATCCGGTTGTTTAAACGCACCGATCAAAACCGATAAAATGAACAGGATTAAAGGTCTGGCGAGCACTGAGGGCGCTCCTGTGACTCCCAGAACCTGTAAGTCCGTCGGAAAAGCCACTCAGTCACCCGCCGATTGGTCCGTCGCACTGATTCCTATGAGGACGCCTCATCGACTGGATGTGAGCGACACTCAGAATCCGTCTGCCGCAGAGATAAGCAATTCTCCCATCTGCTTAAACTCTGACACAAAGCTGCGCCTTGAACACCCCGCTTTATCCGAGAGGCCCTTGAATCTCAGGATGCATACGGCGTCTTATTGTGGAGGTGATAGACGAACTTGTGCGGCGGCCTCAATTGAGCCACCTCCAATAGCCTTGCGTAATTTCGCAAACAGTGTTGTTCTCTTCTCCAACGTCATCAGCTGTGAGGGGCTGACAGAACGAATTGTGTCTGTGTGGGCCGACGCCTGCCCTCTCCTTTCAACGGAGACAAGCAAGGACGTCAGAAACCCACTCTTTGCTTGCATTTGTCCTGCCCCTGCCGATGCAGTTGCCGCAGTGAGAGAAAACGGAGCATTTCAGGGCTTCGAGATACTTTCGACGTGGGAAGATGGACTAGGGGACATCCTCCCCTCTAGCATTGACTGTCAGGCCACGTGGATAGTCCTTGCTGTGAAAACCAAACGCCCAGTCTATTGCCCCCTTCAGGCCTGGAAGAAACATCGTCTATTCATCCGGAATCTAAATAGTCCACCTAAATTCTCAATTCTTCCCGCCCTACCCAAGCAGAGTCTTATCTGGAGCAGTTCATGTCCCATGAAGCACTTTCAGACGGAACAAATCATATTATCGGGAAACCGGTGCCTTCTCGTCAGGGGTCACCCAAAGGGCTTTGTGTCAAAGCACAGCACCGTTTTGATGAAGTCGGCTAAACTAACGCACAAATGGGAAGATGTCTTGGATTCATTTGAAGGGGGCATCGACACGCGGTCAGGGTCCACTATCGTCCACGACGTGGAGACAAGACTGAATCATGTGACCTGCAGTGGATGTTCAACCCTGGAAACTCTCACTGTGAGCATGACTAGAAGTGGGCTTCTTGAGCGGCCAATGGTTAAAACCATTGTTAAATTAGTAGAAGCTAAGTTGCTTCAGTCGGAACCCTGGAAACTAGCTGAGACCCGAAGACTCCATCGAACAGCACCCACCCACCTAACCCGAACATCCTGCCCCGACGGCGATCGTTCCACGTCTGCCCTGCTAATGCGCTCCGCGAAGACCTGGAAGACCTTTTGGCAATGCATCTGTCTGAATGCTTGCATCTGCGTAAGCCTGGTGACAGGCAAAATCTATTTTTTCCAGATGAGTTCCGGCGATTGGGCCTCCCTTTTCGGCGTGGTCTCTGCCTATCTCACTGTTGTCTCATTGGCTTCCTTCCAATGTCCAAAGAGGCGTGGAAACTTTTGAGTCCTTCTTTTGCAAGATACCGCAACGGTCTAGTTCGGATGAACTGGGCAATGCGAACTTGCCCCGCCAGGTTGCATCAACCACCCAGGCGGACTGTTGCCTGCGTGTGTACTTTCGCCGCGTCGACGACTGGAGTCCGGACACAGTGTTCGGGACTCTCAGTCAGGTCCGAGTTTACCACTAGTTGAGCGACATTAGCGCTCATGCAAGAATTCAGTTGTGAAGAATGCCGAGAAAACCTCTCGCTTCTTCCGGGTCGTCCATACAGCATCAGGGAGCATCCTCATTCAGTTGTCCATCAACCATTGTTAGTAGGCCTCGAGCGAACGGAGCGCTTCTGCCTGTTGTGCAAGGCGGGCACTCAGACCACTTGCAGACGTAATTCGGAATGTGGAATTGTCTCCTTCAGGAAGTAGTGAGAGGCTTTCGGGGTTAATCTATTAATAGCGGTCAGAATTAGAAGGGTCGTGTACGCTGTCCTGGTCGCAAATGTTAGCGCAATGTGGAGTTTGAAAGTAAGGTAAGACAAAGGTGGACGCTGATATCGTTAGTGGAGAAAGTAGCCGAGGTTAAAACGAAGAAGGCATTTTGCTGTATGACAAATCTGCCACAAGATTAAAGGTAGCCTAGAATCTCGCAAAACATCTGACTGGTAGAAAACACGAGGCAGCAACGCATCAAACCTAGCGGTAAACCTAACGGTAACCTCAAAAGGCAAACCTAATCCTCAACGTAATTATAAACCTAATGGTATTCTCCAAATGAACACTTAACCTAAACCGAAACTTACCACAAACCCTAGCTCTAATCCTAGGTGTAACCTTACCCGTGGCCTAAGTCCTAACCCTAGCCCTTACCTAAACCATAACCCTAACCCTTACCTTAACCGTAACCCTACCCTAATCCTAATCCCAACACTAACCCTAACCCCAATATTAACATTGAACATTAACCTAAACCGCATTTCAAACCTTAACTCTAACCGGAACCCTTGGACTTAACGCAAACCCTAACCCTAAGCTCAATTCTCAGTCCGACCCTAATCCCAACTCTATGACTAACCCTACGTCTAAACCGATACATCAGGCTGTCCTTTTCCGTTCTAGCTCTGGCTACTATTCCACTAACTATTTCAGCATCTTCCTTCGGCTTGCTTTACCTACAATGCCCACATTGCGCTTACACTTGGGACCGGGACAGCGTAACCGACCTCCCACCCGTACTGGTTTAGCAGAACAAAGGCGATTTCTCGAGTGAGCACCTGGAGGCCTGGGCTACAACATGAGACCTTATTCGCTCTCAAATCCAGTGTTTTTTCCTGATAGCGACGGCTAGCACTAGCCCACGATTTCAATTGGGCACTCCGGACTTTTCATCTTGGCAGCGCGGCTCAGACTTCAGAGTGGCTTTCTGTAGTCTGTAGGACCCAAATCAAGTCGATGCCAACTACAGTAGTGGGCTCGGGGATAGAGGCGTCGCGGCTGCTTGCCACTATGGCCTGCTGGAACGGCCCCAAGCAGAAAGAGAAGTTGAATGCCAATAGATGAAGCCTTGTATTCTGTGCAGAATGCTTGGAGAATGGACTAGAGAAAGCTGCCGACCGGATGAGTGCATAGGTCCGGCGACACGAGCGCTCTGAGCGAAGGAATTTCTGGGTCGGCCTTGAAGTTAGCTGGCCGGTTTAGGAAGCTGTGATTGGCTGAGAACCTGACTGTCACTGGTAGGTGCAGTGCTGTAACAGTTGGGACTCTACACAGGGATGGCTAGGCAACCTGCGAGTGACGATATGCGCGGAGAGGGAAGTCAGTCGAAGTGCGGTGGTCGATAACAAGGGGTTTTCCAAGTCAAGGTGATAGAGCGAGTAGGACGACGTTCACCGCAGCCTACAAGCGGCCCAGAAGACGGCGACCGCAGTCAGTGTTGTTAGTCACAGCGAGAGATTCATGTGTACACCTGAGTTTTATCCCGCTGCGGCCAACCGCTGAAGGCAACAATACAGATTGGCGTCGTGCTGTCGGGGCGCCGATGACTGAGTCACACACGGCGCAAGCAGTGGACTGGCAAGGAGTGTTTGGTCGCTGTGGCCACGTCGAGTAGATTGCCACAAGTCGGTATGGCGTTGTCGAGGTGGTGTGTCCGACGAAGGATGCTAGCAGCTTAACAGAAAACCCAGCTCTGGCGGCTGCCATTCTAGGAAAGATGCAAACCTGTTCTAAGTTTCTATAGTGAGGACGGCCTCTGTTGAGTCGTAAAGGTCACGTCGAATCGACAGTACTTATAATGCAGTCATTGGAATGGTCTACGCGTCGATCTATTATTCATGTCAGCCCTCGTGTGCAAACTGTTCAGCCAACTGCGGTTAGTAGAGCGATCTTCCGGACTTCAGTTCTGCAGAGCCCAGTTGGCTGTTATTAGTACCACTGAAGGCTGTACAGACATACTTTAATCTGAACATTGACATCACCCTTATTTTGCCCAGTAGGAGGCAATGACAGTCCGAGGTACTTACATTAATTCATATAATGGAATCACTCTCACCAATCTATCCCGATTGTAGGATGGAATAGGCACGTTACTTTTGACATTAAAGCAGTTTCAGGTGATGTCAATCCGACCGTGGGAAAGGACGCGGATCGATCTGGGGCTCCTGGCGTAGCCTGAAGTTAACAACTGTCTGCCGCGCCTGGGAAACTTATACAGCACTGCGCAACCCCCGGTATGATTTGCTGGACACTTGTTTGAACTGTAAGATATGCCTTTTCTACAGCGGTTTTCCCAACGTCTGTTGTTTGTCGCAAAGCCGGTGAACATCGCAAAGGCGCTGCTGCACTCCTAAAAAGATCTCATATAGTCGAACAAAGCAAGTTACCACCTAAATAATGAAAATCTCGCCTAAGAGGATTAGGTAGTTCTTAAACATGAGCGTTTGACACATAAAACACTTCTAACTGCCCTTCCCCAACTCCAGATCCAGCTAGCTGAATCTGAATACACATGACTGGCATAACGAAGTGTTTAATTGTGGAATGATGAAAATTGTTGAGATCATAGGTGGGACCAGTTGGTACTTAGGAAGGATCTTCGTGTGCATAATGTTCTCGAACTGAGCAGTGCTAGACCAGTAGGGGACCGTCTTTGAAATGTGGACACTCACGGGGTGCGTAGGGTTCTGTCAAGTCCTCCTTATTGTACTTGTTCTTCCTGATGCTTGGCGGAAGCCCATTTCTTCGGATGGCGGCAAATGAGGCAGACGCTGTTGTCGGCAATGAGTCATGAATGGTCCTCGGTGTCATTAACTCTCGGCGACCCCGACCGGAAAGTAGACTCAGACCACAGTCAGTTTGTCACCCAAAACTTTGTCTGGCTCTTACCTCACTGGACACAGGTTCCGTAAGACGGTTTGACTGAGGAATGGTATCCTTTATTTCCCGAACTTCAACATGGATGAATACATTCTCCAGGCCGTCCACCATTTCGAAGTTCCAGCATTGTCTCTGGTGAAAATACCTGAGGCAAACCCTGTTGAACGGAGACTAACTCTCGTCCAGTCGTAAGATCTCTACGAAGAGTAACCATTTTACGGCTGCCCCAGTTGATTAGGTCGACGCCCAACCGAATGTGTACACGTGTATATGCTTCTGCAACGTCAATCGCAATACTCCACAGTCTAAACCAGTCACTTCATAAGTGGGGACAAACGTGTAGGAGTCGAGGCAACGTTCTACGTTGTGCTTGGTTCTAGCTCACCGTAGACACTATTTCCAAAAAGTGATAAGTGTGGGAGGCTGATATTTTACCACAGAAGTCCTCTAAGCAAGGTGATTTTCTGGGTTGAATGCAAAAGAGCCCAAGCCAACACCTTGGAATAACGCGCCATGATGCCTTTCCTCCGCATTTTCTGCCTTATATTTTCCTTCACCTGGTTCCCGGTCCATTCACTTAAAATTGTCTACCACTTGAGATACTCCAGACCCGAACGATCGCAATACGTACCTTCTACTCGAGAAGTAAACAAGTGCAGTGGTCAACAATGGGCAAAACTCGCGTACCCATTCTGTGTGCCAGCGGACGTTCATATAAAGTCAAGGTTAGCATCGTCTTCAGCGCGCAGACTCCTTGTATTGGCAACGACAATCTGTCTGTCATTGTGTCCATGCAAGTCATCCGAAACAGATGTCTCCAGCTGCTGTCGCTGGTGCTAAAAGTACTATCAACAATAGTAGCCTTGGGATTGGCCAAACTAACCTCTGCCAACCGTCGCGAATGATGATTTCCACCGTGCACCCCAAATCATGATGGGCGCAGAGACGGTGACCTGCGCGTGGATTAGTTTATAAATGACGGCAGACTTGCACAGCAACTGCCACACTCGCCTCTGGGTTCGGTGTCAAAAAAAAGTCAGAGAGACCGCAAGCGGGATCGAGTAGAGTGACTGAGAAGGCTGAAAAGTCTGTCTACGCCCGCCATACATGTCTGGTCAGCACATAGTTGACCAGGTCTCCGCAGAAGCAAGGCGTGGGCGACCCGAACCCGATCTCTGTGGGACTGTCATAAAGGTCCAATTGCTCTCCGTCTTGAGAGGAGCGATTTCTTCCGCCAATTGGCAGACTTTCAAGCGACTATTTGTAGTGCATCTTCGTATTTTCGAATCACGTCGGATTGGAGTGAATTGGAGTGCCGTGTGAGCGGAGCGCTCAGAGTCGACCTCATTCTGTCTCCCCTCTCCTAGGAACTAGTCTTCTGACCGAACCCTTCAGCCATATAATGCGGGAATTGGGCGCAGGTGGCTAGCGCTGCGCAACCCCGCGCCTAGGCCTGCAGTCACACCTTACGTGTGACATTTGTTGTCTGGTGAGCAGCCCTATCGACGCGTGCCGTACCCCGATCTGTCTCCAGTGATGTTTCAGCATATCTCTCGCGTAGCCCATTGTAGGGGGCCAGGCATTTTGGACGGCCTGAACTTAGTCATCTCAAACGGGCCTTTCAGGAACGCTGAAAAG